TAGACACCAGTCTCATATAATTTCTTCTCTCATTTCTTCTAGCCCATTCCCTACTGGCTGTATAAGCTTCATGGCCTAAATATCAACTACAACTGTGAGATTTGTGGAAACTATACCTACCGAGGACCCAAGGCCTTCCAACGGCACTTTGCTGTAAGGAATCCGACACCATTCCCCACTGGGGCAAAAAAATTTTAAAGATTTTTGTTTTATTCATGCATACAAGAACGGGGGTATAAGCCAGAGGTGTGTGGAATATGGGTGAGGGGATTCACCAGACAGAGTGGGGAGCAGAGCAGGCAGGTTGAAATACACTGCTGAGGGGAGCAGTGGGTGAGACAGGCAAGGTCTGTAGCACTATGTGCGTCAGCCCCCTGGCCAGGGATTGAACTCGCACGGCAGTGGCGGTAGACAACTTCCTAGTGCTGAGCCTTAACCCCTTGCACTGCCAGGGAGGCCCTTCCCCCTAAAAATTGATTTATCATACATGAGTCTTTTAAAAAAGAGGACAGGCGTGACCTGAGAAGATCATAATGTCCAGAGCTTAAGAGAATCAGAGAAGGAGCAAATCTAAAATCGAGGCCTTGGCATTTGCCAGTGCTGGCCTTCATACTACCTGGACAATTTCTTGAAGCATTGTACCGCTCTCAAGTTTGAACCTCATTTTAGTTTTGTTGTTGTTTTTGTCTTGTTCTTGGACTTCTTTTTTCTGCCAGCATCTTAGACCAGTTTCTAATCCCTTGATCATTTCTCCACCCCACTGCTATAAGGAATTGACTACCTGCTCCTTTGGGTCTGACATGGGCCATTTATTCTACAAAACAAAAAGAAACTAAGGGGTTAACATTTACCAAGCTATTCTTGAGACAAGGCTTTATTTAGGTGACTCCAGTAAATAACTTCACCCTTGTTTTACTTCCCCCCTAGTTTTTTATTTAATTAATTAGTTTTTAAAGATTTACTTTTGCATACAAGAACTGGGATATGGGGTACAGGCTAGAGGTATGGGTGTGGGGAGGAGTGAGAGGATTCACCAGAGACAGAGTGGGGAGTAAAACTGGCAGAGTAACTGAAATACACAGCTGAGGGGAGCAGTGGGGGAACAGGAGAGGTCTGCTGCTCCACGTGGGTCTGCTCCCTGGCTGGGGATTGAACTAGTGGTGCAGTGGCTGGCGATAGTTTGATAATGCTGTCTTTAACCCCTGTGCCACCAGGGAGGCCCCCTTCCCTCTAGTCTTAGTACTTGTAAGAAAATTGTACAGAAAAGAAACTAGACCAAGTATGGAAGATTTCATAAATATTCTCTCCCTCCTTCAGACACACATATTACTAGTTGATCCTGGGTCATTTCTGCTGAACCCCTTAGTAGTCTCCAAATCTTCCTCTCCATCATGTCCAATGAATTGGAATCGCCACCCGGATAAAGCCCGGGCCGTTGGCCATCTCCAAGCAAGAACTGTTAGCATCTATCTCTCCCTGTACTCTTTCACATCCCTGTTTTTAACTGATAAAGAGTCTTTTCCTTTACTCCCAAGGCGACCCTGTCCTGTCACCGGTAACCCTTACTCAATGTTGCACAGAAGTGACTGGTTAGTTGTGGTTCTCCTGTGGTCTTAACTCAGATTTTGTCTGAAAGACTGTTGGCTCTGAATTTAGGTTTAATAAGCCAACCTGGTGCAATACTGCTTTGAAATAACCCTTGTCAGTCAGGTCTAGGAACTCTGCCTTTAAGGCATCTTTTGCTAAGAGTATGGGGTTTTGAATAGAAAGGGATTGGTCTGTGTATCCAGCTGTCCACTTCAAGTTGTTCTCTCCTTTCCCAGGAATGGCGTCATGCTCATGGCATGCGGTGTTTGGGCATCCCGAACACTGCCCACTTTGCTAATGTGACACAGATTGAAGACGCCGTCTCCTGTAAGTTATGTGATTTTTTTGCTCAGCAGGCCAGACCAGGTGGCCACTCATGCAGCTCATTGGTCCAGTACCCTGGTGCATCCAGGCCCCAGGGCAGCAGATTGCAATACGTAGAAGCTGCAGTAGTCACACCAGCTACTGCATTTTTGAGGGGCAGGAGTTAGTTAGCAGTGCTGATTATTTCTCCTTTGGGAGGATCCTTGTGCTGAGGAGGACAGGACTTTTAACCTGGATCTGTGACTCCCATGTACGCAGGATTGTGAGCAAATGGGTGTGTGTACATTTTTCCAAATTTATTTTAATGCATTGAGCACTGCTGATAAAAAAAAGTTGAAAATGTTCTTATAAACCTACTCCTGAAGGGAGGGACAGGGCAGTGTGATAGCAAAATACACTCTTATAGTGCAAAAAAGAAAGATTACAACATTTTTACAACTTTCTCTCTCACTAAGTATTGGGAAAAATTAATTGCTTGATTATTTCATACTTGGGTGATAATTCTTTTAAAGCAGTTATGTGTGCTGTTAGAATGTTGTTTAGAGTATTGTATTTGTGTTCATAATAAAAGATGTACTGCTTAATTCCTTTGAGACACTTGTCAGTTTTAGGGGTTAAAACCGTATTTATGATATAAAATGAATAGGCTTATATTTTACATTCTCTTCTGCCATTCAAAACTTTATATTTAAATAGAGATTATCTCTTTATACAAATGAACTGTTCTCAGAAGATTCTTTAGCTCATAGCCCCTACAATTCCTTGATTTGTTATGACAGAGTGAAAAATCAAATTCTTTGTTTCTATTCTGAGTTTAAGTGTTTCCTTTTTCCTTTTAATATATTCTGTGATCTAATTTCTTTACTCCATACTCAAGTCTATAGTAATGAGCTTCTCTTTGTTATATTTCTGGTACAGACATTTTAGAACTGGGTGTCATTCTATTGATGGTTATATTCATCCAGCTGTTATGTTTATAACTTTATTTTTAAATGTTATTTCTAAGTTTAAAAAAGTACTGAGAGATTGTTTGACTACTTTTAATTCTGGTTGATCTAGCATTTTAAAATTCTATTTGTCCCGTTTTATCTTGGCCCATGCAGTAAGATGCAAAATTTCTGCCTTTAGAATATGTTGTATCTTTGTGTCCAACTATGTAATCAGTGATGTTAAAGATTTACATATATTGAAGTGCTTCTCTCCACCTGTGTGCTGTTCAGTGTTCTTGCAGTGTTCAGGTCATGAATTCTAACAGGGACTTGTTGACATTTCCATTAGTAATGGAGACTGTTGGCACAGCTGTTGCACTAAATTTGCTTTTGTCTTTGTTTTAGAGCAGTCTGGAGCATTTTATTTTCTTTTGGAGTTTTTAGCCAGGAAGGGGAGAGGGTCACTTGAGTTAAAGACTTTTTTTTTTTAACTTAAATAACAGGGTCATGTATAAATTTATTGTGTTACTTGTTTCAGGGTTAGAATTTTTTTTTCAACGGTTGAACAAGAGACAGCCAAGCAGCTCTGGGGGGGTGGGGGGCACATGGGAGAAGCAGCTCTGGAATTGCTACCAGAGATCCCTTCTTAGGTCGTTGGTCACCATCAGGCTGCTCACTACGCATAAACCTACCAGGCTAATAAAGCATAAGTCTTACCAGAGTTGCTTTACAGTGATTAAGAGATTTAAACAATAGCCTTGGAGATTGCCTATGACACCAGTTGCTTCAGTAAAATTAGGATCTTCTGTTTCTGGCTTTTTATTGGATCAGCTACCCCACCAAAAACAGGAAATTCAGTTAGTCTGCTTCACTTACTCCCAGTGAACCCACGCCGGCGCCAGAGGTGACCCATTCTTTTCTAATTGTTTTCAGACCCTGCTGCAGAGTTGCAGCTCCCTTACTTCTTCAGTTTCCTACATCTGTTTTTTTGTTTTTTGTTTTTTGTTTTTTTCCGTTAAGAAAATCATGAGAGCATACTCATGCTCCAATATTTTAGTATCGGAAAGTAAAGTAGTGCATGATAAATTCTCCACTCCTTTGTGATGTGCTTATTAGCTGGGCTTTAAGACTTTGGCTAACTTAAAGCAATTAGCAAGGAAGGAAGCTGCTTGAGTACCTGCATGCCAGGCATGGAGTTAAGTAAGCTTTTTTTTTTTCTCTCTCATTTATTTTTCCTCACTTATTTTAGGCTTCAACACTCTCTGCATGATATTTCTTCTAATCTTGCCAAGTTAAGAAATTGTTCTACTTGACAGGAAATGTAGAAGCATGTAGGGGTCAAACAGCCGTGCCTTCCCGCCATCCTCTGTCAGTGGTGTGTCATCATCTCCCTACAGCAGGCCTGGCCTCCCTGCTCCTCCCTGTGTGCTGAGTGCATCTTCCCACACCATTCCTACAAATTCATGTTGTTCTTTCTGATTTGGTCTCTGTCCTCTCTCGTCACTCCCTCAGAAACTGTGGTGGTTCCTATAGATGTCTTTCCCTTTTCATTTTCAATGTGATATTTGTTACTGAAAAGTGAAAATTCATGTGTTACATTGTTGCTGAGCCATCTTTTAGACTATTTGGTTGTGACATTTCACCTCCCTTTTTTCTCTGGGTTTTTTCACTATATACACCAGACTTTTAAGTATATTTGGCAATGTCTACTTATCTCCTATAATGACCTTTAATAAGACAGGGGAGTTATCTTTCTCATAATTCCCATAGATTTAACTTTTTCCTATAAGAGTTTCAGTTCTCACTTCTAAAGGTCTTTATATTTGATCCAACTTTTCTTTTATAGCAAAGGTAAGATTCTGGTGATTTGGACCAGAAGGGGTGTGGTCTGCAGTCTAGTCCAGAGCCAAAGTTCCAGTTTGGGGCAGAGTTCCCTAAGACAGGGTCATCCAAGGAAGTCCTCATGGGGGTCTGCTGTAAGCATGTGCCACCCTGCTCGTCAATTCTGATGGCTGCTTGTTTCTCATCCTGTAGTGTGGGCCAAGCTGAAACTGCAGAAGGCGTCAGAACGATGGCAGCCTGACACTGAGGTGGGTGCTAGTGTAACTTTGGAGATACTGTCACAGCTCCCTCACCACATGGAAGGGAGGTAAAGGAGAGTCCCAGTTTCCAGGGTGTGAGGACGTGATAATGGGATCGGGCCAGAGCTCACCCTGGTAATTGGTTCCAGGCAACTTTCCAGGGAGATGTAGCTGACAGTGTACCTCCTTCCTTTGTAGGAAGAATATGAAGACTCCAGTGGAAATGTTGTGAATAAGAAGACGTATGAGGATCTGAAAAGACAGGGACTCCTCTAGTGTTCAGGCTTGCCCACGTGTCCTCTGAAGTCTGCTTTTTCTATTTCTCCCAACCAAATGCTTGTAAAGACTTTGCTATGTAGTCTTACAGTCTGGCATGCATCTTGAAGACATGCTAGTAGATTGCAGGGTTGAGATGTGTTTTACCTTTGTTTTATATTAAAAAAGATTCAGAGAATAAAACTGCCTCTTGTTCTGTCTCGTCTAAAGCCCTGGGCTATAGCCTAACCAGCTCTTTAGCTTTTGATACCGCTCTACCTCTTTCTCACCAACATCATTAGCAACTAAGTAAGCACCTTGTATGTTACATATATTAGTTAGATCTGATATAACCGCTTTCCCCTTGTCCCTAAATGAGCATTACCCTGGGATAAGCCTTGCTCTTAGTTGAATCATCCAATTATGCACATACTAGGGGGAAATGGGAGAGCAAGCCTGGGACTCAGCAAAGGACAAAAGGCACCAAGGTTTATCCTATTTATTCTCCTGTTGGAGTTGAGCTGTTTCAGAACGGGCCTGCAGGCCTGCACCTTCTCACCTCAGCAGCCTGGCACACCATGGAACTAGCACCTGCTGTGACAACGAATGAGGGTCCATGGTTTGTCTACCTGTTTCTTTTACAAGGTCCTTGCTTGACTGTAGAAGTGGCTAATGTTTTTGTGTTCGCCAGCCCCAGATACCCAAGATTTGGGTGGACAAGCTGCTACCCAGAATCTGATACCCTAATTGGAAAGACCTAGAGCCAAGAAGACACCAGTCTGCCTATAGGACAGTCATCTGAAGGCCAGTGCCTACTTCGCACCTTCCATTTGTAATGTATTTAGAAAAATACCAGCTACAGAGCTGGTTCTCCTTCATATTTAACTGTTTTCCTAGTCATCTCCATGGCATTTCACTCTGGGTTGGTATTTTCCTTCTTGGTTTAACCTGTCCCTTGGGCAACTCACATGTTCGTTTGTGCTTTGGCTCTCTAGTTGCTTGAAATCCCAATTGCCACTTCTCCAGGGTCTGAGCTTCTGAAACAGAGTGAGTGGATAATTAAGCCTAATTGAGCCAACTAGAAACACTGATTACCAAAAGCTGGCCCAGAGCACAGAGGCATTGCCATTTGGGAAGAGTTCGACAAAGCCTCGGAAATGGAAAATGTGGAGAGGGAGGTGTCCTGTCCCCCTTCCCACTGGAGCAGTATCAGGCTGCCACGAGTTGTACCTGCTGTTTTCCAGCTCACATATTCTTCAGAAGCCCCTTTAGAAGCTAGGCACCCCAACTGCAGGTCCTGAGGACCTGTTTACTTGACAGTGTGGAGGGGAGTTGGGACCAGATCTAGTGAGCTGCCAACCCCTTTGCCCACACAGCTGAACCAAGCACCAGAGCAGCCTTGGAGGAAACGTAGGGCTTCTCTGATAGGCAAAAATTGCTTTTTTTTATTGTTAGATTTGTCCAAATATTTTAGTGTCTTCCATGTGCCAGGCACAGCGAGGTTTACAAATCTTGAGAATTATGTGGAGGTGGGGTGGCAGGTGCAGAGCCAGGGGTGAGGAGGATCAGCCCAAGGCTCCACAGGAAGGCAGGAAGCCAGCTCCACCAGTCTTCAGCCACAGAGCTATTAGTGCAGGTCAGCAAGCCTGCACAAGGGATTCTCAGATGTGATTGCTTCAGGTCTACACTTTGGGGTTTGCAATAGGAGCAATTTCAGCTGAGCCCCCTGGCTAGGCAGGGGAAGGAGTGAAGGCTCTCTCTTGGCTTAGTAGTTTTTCATCTCTTTAGGATTGTAGATTTTTTTTTTTTTTTAAGATGTATTTGTGCATACAGAGCTGGAGTACAGGCCAGAGGTGCAGGGGCAGTGAGAGGATTCACCAGAGACAAGAGTAGGGAGTGGAACAGGCCGACTGACAAAGTACACTGCTGAGGGAAGCAGCGGGCGGGTCAAAAGAGGTCTTCTGTGCCATATGGGTCACCTCTGGGGTGGGAATCGAACTCATGCTGAAGTGGCTTTAGCTTCTTAGTGCTGTGCTTTAACCTGCTGTGCCACCAGGGAGGGCCCAGGATCATAGATTCTTTTGGAAATACAAAGATATGTACATGTAGACTTTACAAAAATATGTACATGTAGACTTTAAAAGCTTTTTATTTATGCTTACAAGAACTGGGGTACAGGCCAGAGGTGTGGGGGGTGAGAGGAGTCACCAGAGACAGAGTGGGGAGCAGAACAGGCAGATTGACTGAAATACACTGCTGTGAGGAGCAGCAGATGAGACAGGAGAGGGTTGTTGCGCCATGTGGTCAGCTCCCTTGCCAGGTTTGAACTCGAGCTGCAGTGGCTGTGGATAGCTTCATAGTGCTGAGCTTTAACTCCTTGCACCACTCTGGAAGCCCTGCGTAGACATTTGGACAATTTTAAATGTTCACAAACGCTCCCCATTTGTGGGAGCATTTAAGGACTTCGATCCTAGGTCTTGTAAGGCTCTCTCCTTTAGACATGGAATCTGGACCTCTGCACCTCTGCCACCTGTTTTCCTGCTGAAAACAGGTGATTCAGTTCACTCTTCAGGGAGAAAGAAGCAGGGGATTCCATCTGCCCTCCCAGTCCAGGCAGGAAATGTTTGCAAAAGTGTTCCTGGGGTTGACTCCAGAGGCTGATCCCGGGACCAACCTCCTGGGATCAGGGGTTTCCTCATGACACCTCTGAGGAAAGCAAACCAATCTATGTCCTGTCTCGGTTGCTCATCCCTTTCCTGCACTTTCCTTCTGGTCCCTGCCAGAAAGTCTCTTGGGCTAGAGGTTCAACAAAGGGCACGCCAGGGTTGGAAGGAAAGAGCAAAGTCCTGAGATTTTTTTCTCTTTCCCCCTGCATTATTTCTTTCAAACCCTTGCGATGATGGCTACCTCTCTGCTCAGCCTTCAGCTCCTGCTGCAGCCTCACCTCCAAGTTCTCTTGGTGGGCATGGGCCCACTACCTCCCCACACCACTCTTCACTGTCCACCAAAGTGCTCCAGCCCTGGGTGGGCTCTGGAGCTGCCCAAGTTGCCAGCTGGTTTATTTCTCCCTCCGACTATAGTCTGGACATTGGCTATGCTGCCTTTTTTTTTTTTTGCTTGTGGCCCATGTGGGTCCCCAGTGGCTGCAACGTCAGAGGGAACTCCCAGAGCTGGCAAATGATTGGAGGGAAGGAGGGGCAGCTGTGAGCTTCCAGGGGCTGCACTCGCAGCCTCCCCACTCACGTACACGCTGTCTGCCCTCCTCACCGTCAGGTGTACAGGAAGGTCTGCAGCCGGGCTGGGCTGGGGCGCTGGCAGTGGTAAGCATGTCCTGTCAAGCTACGGAGGGATGTGCTGACTGACTAGAGCAAAGGGCAAGGAGCTAGAACTCATCCAGAGAAGGTTACCAGGCTTTGCCCGCTTTTCCATTCTGCAGGGTGAGTGCCCTTCACATGGCTGAACTCCCCTTGAGCCTTGGCTACCCAGTCGGGGGGAGAGGGCCCTTCCCTTCACAAGGACACAGGGGTGGGGGTGGAGATGCATAGAATTTTCTTGACTTACATCCTTTGGAGACTGTCACCAGATCACCCATGTGCCATTGAGTTCGTTTTTTCCATGCAAGGAAATCTGCTGGTGACAAGAGACTGAAACCACATTTCTACTCAACACCGGGACACCAAGAGCAACAGCCCCCAGATGGGGGGCTGCCAGCCCTGTCAAGCCACGGACGGGCTGACTGAGTGAGAACAGCTTCTGAGTGTCCTGTTAGAGGCTGGGAACAATGGAGGGCTGAGGCTTCTGGTCAGGAGGAAGTAAGGGTGGAGAGAGCAGTGGCCCCTTCCGCCAGTGGTTCTTATCCCACCTCACCTCAGCACCACGGATCATGCATCAGTGCACCCAAAGAGTTGCACTCAGCACCACCAGAAGGGGCCCAAGTCAGAGCAGGTCCTAGTTCCAGGCTCCCCTCTGTGCTGTGTCACTCCGGCAGCTCTCAGACCCATCCAGGTGCTGAGGGAGGACGATAGCCATGAGGATGGGGGAAAGGATGCCCTTTACCCTGGGAAAGGGATTGCGGGGGCTGTTGCTCTTGGTGTCCCAGTGTTGAGTAGAAATGTGGTTCCAGTCTCTTGTCACCAGCAGACTTCCTTGCATGGAAAAAACGAACTCAATGGCACATGGGTGATCTGGTGATGGGAAATCACCAAATGATGTAAAAATAAACTTATAATAAAAAAAAAAAACTGAGCTCAGGCTTAGTTTACAAGTCTGAACTCAGTAAACGAGGAGGCAGAGCTGGAATCCAGATATCCGGGGTCTGAGGCTACCTCTTGCCCTTGGCTAGCTCTGTCCTAGGAGCAGGTAGAGATGGAACCCTGAAGAGCCTGAATAAGGCAAGCCCTGACTTCTCGCCCTCTCTGTGACACAGGGTTTCCTTGCCCTGGGTTCTGAGGAAGCCCTTCAACCCCCACCCCCACCCCACTGAGGTAGAGACAGATGAGGCCAGATCAGAGGTACCTGATGTGTGTTTCCTGTCATTGCACCTGCTCCAGCTCAGCTCCCCTCGGATGCTGCTGTTGCCATGACAATGACAACATTCACTCTCAGAGGGGCTGTTTCTAGGCTGCGGTCCCCTTTGCGCTTGCCTCAATGTCACTGATAGTATGACTTGCGGGGAGCAAAGGCCCAGCCCGTGGGGCCCCTTACTCCCTCCAGGTTGACTTCCCCTGCTGCCCAGCCTCAGTTTATTCATCTGCATAACAGTACCATGGCCATCTCTGTTTGCAGCCCTCATCTGAGCGGCCCAGGACTGATCGCTCACGCCCCGGCTCCTGCAAGCCCCTTGACAGAAGATGTCTGTGGCCACCGCTGGCCATAGGGCTCCTTTGCTCAGAGGTAGCTGTCCTGAGTCCAGGGACCCCAGCCTCTCCTGGACCCTGTGACCCACCCTAACCCATGAACATTGCTGGACTCTAGGGCTGCCCCTGACCTCATGGTCTGTTCTAACACTTAACTACAGCATGACCTTCCCTTGCCCTTGACTTGGTTACTCCTGCAGTGGTCCCCTTGCTCCTCTTTCTCCTACCAGTCCTCCTGCTGGTGTTATCCATAGCCCAGAACCTTGTGAGAAGTCAGGTGACGCCTGCTCCAGCCCAGAAAGAAGCAAGGAAAGAGGAGAGCACCTCCCGATGCCTTCACCCCAGGAGAGTGGGCCACAGTGTTCAAACCCTTCCACAGACATGCCACAGCTTCCACTGCTTCAGAGAGA